TGCACTTGATTGTTTACGTTTAACACATGATTTCAATATTGAAGGTAGCTTCAAATATTTAAACAATGAAAAGTATTATACTTTATGTAACATATACTCTATCAATGTAAAAAAGTTTGAAGAAATCCCAAAACGGTAAATGGAGTAAAACGTTAAGACATATACTTATCAAATGTGGAGAGTTTATAACTTTTAGTTAATTAGGAAAAAATATAGAGAAGAACAAAGTTTGCAAGTTTTTCATTGATAGTTAGATGTTTAACAAGTAATTTCATCATATAGAAGTCATGCAAGACTAATATTTTGTGTCTCATGGAAATACTTTAGTAACGTATAAAAACTGAAGAAATCCCATAAACAGTAAAAGAGGTTATGGCTAGTATTTTCAAATAACCAAAAGTGGAAGAGTTTTAAAGTTTTGAATTTTTGATTAATGAGATAATTGTGCAACGGTAGAAACTTGTTAATTCACCTCGGTACCAATAGTGGTAGTATTGGACCAATAGAAGAATTTCATAATCTTTTCAAAAAGAGAAACTCCGTTCAAGTCTATTACAAGTGATATTGTAGACAAAAACAAGAAAGATTACACAAACCCCATTAGCACATTGGTTAGGAACTAAACTCAGAATTACATCAATGTGAATTACAGTTCTACAGAACAACAAATCAAGAACAAAGCTACTCAGGCCAAAATAATGATTTACAACAACCATATGTCAAATTTGTTTCCAAGTCTTTCTTCTGAAGATTATATAGTTTGAATCCGTAGCAAAAAACTTCCGTGAGATGGGACCAGACACGAGAAACAAAAGAGGCTTCTTTGCAATGATCGATGTTTGTTTTCTCTGTGATTATGGTTCTAGAAGAACTAGGTTTAGTTCTTGAGCCTTTCTTGTTATTAGACCGCCTCTTCTGTATTCAGACAGGAAGAAAAGAGAGCCAAAATATGAGAAATAAGCGAAAAATCCAATATCCAAAAACTATTACCAACGGTTAAATTCATTCGGAAGTTGATGAAAGCAGGATGCTTAGAATGTTTTACCTTGCGAGAACTGGAAGAATCCTTTGAATCTTGTGCAATCCCGCTGAGCAAATTTGGCAGATTTGTAGCCTGCATTGTGGTTTATTAACCTTTCTCAGTAAGCGAGAATCACCATAACAAAACTAATTGAGGTTCCAGAGAGTGGCGTGAACTCAAAGTACCTTTCATCCGCATGAAGATCAACGCCGACAACCCGTGGAGCTGAAACAGTTGAGCGAATAACTGTACCAAACACCGCTACCAGCTTTAAGAGCATTTCCAAGGAGACATTAACCGGCCTGCACAATCATGTAACAATCTCAGATTTAACAAGACAACAGATCAAACACATGATTGTTTATAAAAACTCTTATCTCTTTCGTCAATCAATAGCCGGAGGACTATTGAGTTTTATCATTTGAACTGAAAATGTTATCAATAAATCGGTCTTACTGCTCCCACATTCATTTAGAAGCCAAATCATGAAATTGTTATAGCTCAAAAGGAAAAATATAGCCTAAGGTGGAAATATTTTTACCTCTCTGTCCTGCTACCTAATAAGCTTGTGAGGACAGGGACTAATTGAGAAAACATATCCAATGTAAGAATCTCTATTTTGTCGGTTAGAATACTTATCACATCTGCTTGTACCTGCCACATTATCTTTGAGTTAGCTTATATCTAAACATCCAAACATAGAAGAAAAAAGTAATCTACTGAGAATCGAGATACTCACAGACTGATCTGTCAGCTTTCTCAAGGCCCCAATCGCGCCTTTAACATCACTACGCTCCCAAAAATGTCTAACAATCTGCATGTTTGTGAGAGATCAATCACTTGCATATTAACACT